AACGCCCGGTGGCCACCACAACGAGGGCGAGCCGGGCGCGTTACAAGCAACCACTCGCCTCGACGGCAAAGGCAATGGGCCGGGGCACGACTGCGGCAGGCAACCAACGCTCCCATCCACCGACGTCTTCCCAGAAGGCTCCGCCGACGAGATGTGTGGAGCACCCCGACTGCGATTCCATCGCGGTGCATAAACAATGGGGCGAGATGTGCGGCGAGCACGAAGTGGCCAATTGCGTGCGTGCATGTGTGGGAGGCAAACCAAGCGGGGCTCAGATGAAAATGCCAAAATCTGTATCAGCGGATGCGGTGTTGTTCTTTCCATAACACCCTTCTTCCCTGACCCATGCACGCCCCCGGGTCCCCCGTGGCTGTGCTTTTGTGTGTTGATTAGTTCGTGTGAGAAGCTCCGTTTTCTCTGTCCCGAGATGATTTCTGGTGGATTGCCATTAACGTGCGAAGGCGCGGTCGCAATCCTCATCGCTTCTGCTTTGTGGTGATTATCAATCGGCATTCGTCGCCGCCGCCGCCAAATGAATCCATGCAGTCTCAATTCGGTTTTGGTTAATAACAAGCCTTTGTCGATCCATCGCTGGATGAAAGTCTTACCCATGCTACGTCGGTAATATTCTGTGCCTGCACTCTGCTGTGGTGCCCTTAGTTAACCTCCGGTGTAACGCGGCGGGCGCGATTAAATTAATGATTATCGACAGCTCGTCAATCTGCTGTTTGATAAAGGTACGGCCATGCCGTGCCAATTGTGGGGGTTGCTTGACCATACTTCACCACACTGGTCAGTGCGGGTTTAATGAAGGGCGAGGAGGCAAGGACCAGTTTGAGATCACACTTAGACCGCTGATGTCAACCGATGCCAGAAATTGAACTCAGGGGTCATTGGGTTCACAGCGCAGAGCTCTCACCACTAACCGCCGTGCCACCGCTGACTCCATTACTCATGCACAAATACATCTGTTCGCTCCAAATGTGGCAGACTTCGAAAAATTTGACAAATTGCTGCATGCATGGCAACCTCACGTTAATTTATTTTAATCAGCAGAAAGGCTGAAACTGTGCCGTCGATCATTTTAATTTTTCTGCCCTCCTTTAATTACAGAAGGCTCAATTATTCCCATGACGGGTTGTAGGAAACGGTGGGAGGAGACGCAAATACATTTGTGAATATTTCACCATATCCTGCGTAAAATCGCATTGGGTTTTAGCGCTATTCACTGCACACGCAAAAAAAAACCCAAATTTAATTATGCTTAGTCTATGGCCAATTTAGCCCTTGCGAGTAAGTAATGGCTTACGAGAGCAGTTAAAAAATACATCAAAAGGAGGTGCGCAGGCAAGGGCACCCAGCAGCAATTCAGCCCAGCGTGAATCCCCTTTTGTTCTCGGGTGACACAGCGAGGGTGGGGGGGTCTGCATCGACCGGGCCCCATTCAGCCAATCACCAGCCAACACCAGTGACCACACGAGGCGTTTGGACGTATCGAAAAAAATGTGCTGCAGCAGATATTAGAATGTCCATTCCTATCGGCTTTCTGTTACCGAGCATTACATTTTGTTGGGCAATAATCCCATATAAAAAATGATGGAAATTACAGCCCGAGCTTAATTTATTCTGCAGATCTCCGCGCAAGCCTCTCTGAAGTGAGCACATTACAGTGTTGTCATTGCATGCCCGGGGCTGTAGTTAAGTGTGCTCCGTACTTAATCGGCAGACCTTATTTTTTAAACGCATCTCTTAAAGATAAATTTCGAGTTGAAACAAAAAAATGCGCAAACCTTCATTTCGTTCATTTGTTAGCATCTCAGCCCGTGGAAAAATCCATCGTTGTAAGCAAGAGATGTAAGCTATTGCCGTGGTGCCTGCAGGACAGAAGCCTATTTGCATGGTAATGGCATATAATCTACACAGCTGATGCGAATGGAAAGCTGGAATTCCGCAGATAACAGCACGAACAGACAACAGAGAAGAACTGTAATGGGTTTTTCTCAAACCATTCTAGCTGCCCGACACCAATTCAACATTTTTTTTGGCTGGTCATTAGTCAACGCTGCTTTTCAATCAAAAGGAATGCTGCCCAATTACCTCTGCCAATAACAAGATGAAGTCAATTACTGGCTCAGCCATGACACAGCAACGGTGTACAAATTCGTTACCGTTATAACTTCCAGGGATTGCAAGCCGTGAACCTGCTCTCTACGCGACATCCGAACCTATACGGCGAGGCGGTGCTGTGTGATCATTTCAAGGGTCAATAATAAAATAAGTATTACTTTGTGGAGTCCCCTAGTATCGGGGGACTGGGGAGGGCTGACCTCCACACCCTCCTGTTGAAGGCTCAGCCCCTCTCTTCTAAATTGTACCGTTTAAAGTTTGTTTAAACATTCCCTGTGTCGTGATCCCCACCCCTGTGTGTTTCGTATGCCCCACTACAGGGTTCACTCTTGTGTGAAGTCAGCAGCAGTTATCCCTCCAGCCCCTTCCATCGTCACGGCCAAATCTCCCCACTGGCTCAGGTCCACCAACGGAGATGGGCATCGATGATGCTTGTTTTAGAAGGAGAGGCCCTTTGGCAATTTGTCATGAAGCTAACGTATCCTGCAAGGTGGCTCAGCAGAAGGTTCAAATCCTGTTCGGGGGGAGGGGGGGGACTCTGCCTATATTCCCTTTGGCGTCGATAAAATGGGTACCACCTTTGTGGGGAAGTCAACAGCGGTTGTCCTATGGGTTACACTCACCCCCACCAGAGGAATGAGGAATTTCCACCAATAGCTCAGACCGGTAAACGGGAGATAGCTGCTGGCTCATGCTCATGACTTGTCACTACACGTGTACATTAGTAATTTCATGATTCACCCCACCATCGACGATTCAATACATTTTACGAAATTTAGGACAGCAAATTATATTTTTAAAAAATCGATTCCGTTGTGCCATCATTTTTTACATGTTTGCATCGTTTATTTTTTTTGTCCTATTATTATAGTTTCATTCACTCACTAAAAATTGACATTTGCAGAAATAAAAAAAATACGTCTATTCTTATACAAGCACGATTCAATGCATATACCATGAGCCTGGAGAATCAATGTTAATCGATTAATCGATGATGGATCGTTGTTTTACCCCTCCCCAGTTTATATAAAACGCTGCCACTCGTTCCTAATTGTTGCATAGCTACAAACCCACACATACCGGCATGCATGCATGACACCCACGAGCTTGTATTTAAAAATAATGCATCCAACAAGGGAATACCCGGGAAAACAAAACAATGCCAAGCCAGCGTTGTTTGACAGTTCACAATGCACGTCCACACGTGAACAATAAAATGACATCGCCCGGGTTATGGTGGCCAAAACAACCACAGAATGAGAGCGTCTACAAAGAGGGCAGGCAATGTACTTGATTTTTGTTTACCGTTGCTGCGCACAGGCCTGAAGGCCCAAAATACCAAGCGACCAGCAACAAACAGCATGATTAAAATTGCAAGAGATAAGAGTGAACACATGTCTTGAGTGGAGTCAAGATTAAATAATTACTTGGGAGGAAGTGAGAGGTAATAAGCGGAACAGAACGATATTTTGACCTGCAGTGTGGTAGTTGACCACAGAATCGATAAGTCGAAACGGTCAGTTCGGGCAGACCGAAGCAAGCAGCAATTCACTGTGATGTGAGCACTGTGAAATGTGCAGACACAATTAGTAATGAACACAAAGTGTTTTATTGTTGAAGTCAACGATCACTGTGACTGGACCAAACGGGCATGGTGATGACTGTGACGACTGCCCAATAAAGAGCAAATCACAACCAGACCGCGACAAGACGAAATGATAGAGTCCGAATGAAAGTGAAGTCCAACATTATTTTGAAACCTTCTGAGAGAATGCGGCACACCGTGGAAGATCAAACCATGTGGAGTGATGTTAGATGGATCACTACGGCGCGCGGAGCCAAGTGCCGTAGAAATGGGTGCAGAGGCGAACACACCACGCAGTACCACTCAGTGGGCCACGAGGGCCATGGTACTGGGTGCTAGCGGAAGAGAGCCTGATGAGTCCTACCGGCAGAGTAGGGGATCACAGCCTCCACCAGCGCCGCAGGTCAGAGGTCGCAAACGGGTTTTGATTCCTTACCCGTACCCGGCCGCACCAGGGTCGCAAACGGGTACCCGTACCCTATCCGATAGCCGGCCGGGTACGGGTAGCCGGGTATCGGGTAGGGTACGGGTATCGGGTACCCGATTGCGACCTTTGCCGCAGGTAATCGCCACAGAGTCGGTCACTGGGGGAGTGTGGTGGGGGGCGGCTGGCGGTAGGGGTCATGTGAGGACGAGTCACCCCGGCACCGGGTTAAGCACGTGATGGGCCAAAGGTGAACGAGGGGACACGGGAAGAGTAGCTGAGAAACGTCTGGAGTGTTCCCGAAGGGGGCGTGGAAAGGGTGGAGCCAGAGAGGGGAACAGGTGCGGTGTTGCCTGGAGCCGTCGGGAATATTCCAGAGGTAGGCGTGGCCGAGGGTGGAGCCAGGCCGCGCCGGGAAGGATAAAAGGGTAGCTCCGATCGCATATCGGGGCTGTCTGCAGGTGAAGTGGAACTCAAGTGCTACGTCTTCGTCTTGGACATCGTGGGTCCGGCAGCACGTTGGCTGCTCTGACCCGGTTATAGTTTTCCCGTATGTGAGAGAGATAGGTGTATTATGGTTCCGTGTGTAACAAGAGTGAGCGAGAGGTGTATTTAGTCCCGTGTGTAACGGTGTTATGTAAATGTAGAATGAACGTCGTTGCTCCTAAATGACTCACTACACGTGTAATTGGCTATATAGTTAAATTTAAGTTAAACAAATCGATTTGCCAACTTCGCCGATGAGCCAATCTGAGGGAGAACATGTGCATGTCCCTCAAACCAACACTGATGTCAAATAAGACTCAGACTATGGCTAATATAAAAAATAAAAACGCTTAAATTAACTGTGATGTGAGCGCTTACCACGAGAGAGATTGGCCGCTTCCAAGATATGACTCCTATGAGACCAGACAGCAGCACCTGTGGAGAAATAAACGCATATTCACAGTGCAATCATCACCTTCGTCGTAATCATATTAACCGTTAAGATTCAGCCACGCTGCTCAACGATGGAGGGCTGTGGGTTTGAGCAACAATGCCAGTATCTCCACAACGATGAACGGGGTTAACGATTGAGCTGAACAGTTTTGCACAGTTGAAAAAATTGTTATTTTGGAGATGAAAATTAAAGATTGCATTGTTCTGTAAAAGCAAACACACATTAATTGACGGGGGTCAATAAAAAAAAGCCACGTGCAAGTTTTGTCGCAAAGTTGCACCTGTGATGCACGCATGCAGTTGTTTTTTTTTCTCTCTCTCCACAACTCATTAATGCCAGCCTTTTAAAGGCCGTAATTCTACAAGTTCACTTCAGATTAGTATAAAATCTGCAGAAGCAAAGGAGCCCTGGGGGTTGTTTTTTCGTGCCATGAATAAATAACCAGTGGGATCTGTGTTTTGTGGCTATGTCACCGGCGGGAATCAATCCCAACACAACAATCCACTATTGCGGAGGGTGTCAAAGACGGCATGCCATGTCGCCGTGGTGACCATTGGGGAGCGACAGATGCTGTTGTCAAGGCGTCAAAAGTCTCCCCTGTAACTTGTGGCGGCCACACTTTCAGCGAGCCTCTACATCTCCAAGTGGCACCGGCCAAGCTGGACAGACTCCACACACACACAAAAGCAATCCATATATCCTACATCCGGGCATCAGTAGAGTATGGCGGTTGGCATAGGCCACAGGACAGGGATGCCCAGAGGGGTTGGAGTGGGTGGGGGGCAGTAGTGGGGTGGGGCGGGGAAAGGGGAAAAGAACCCCAAAATGGCCCCACAAGACATTTGTGATTTCCTCACGCGGCATTCAGCCACAGGCCTCGACGGAACCGATGGGCAGCCCTTGGCCCTGGGGCCGCCGGCTCTGCGGTAAGTACAAAAAACAACCACATAATGGGAAGAAGAGTATCTCAGAATACCAGCAGAGGTTGAAAACTCAACGTATTTGCTTGACAAACACCAGAAGTTTAAAATGTCCAGAGAAGACTTACACATTTCTCAGCATAGCTACCTCAAAAAGAGACACTGTCGCTAGGAAAACCAGGGTAGGTGGCAGCTCTATTGGACCCTGATGCAAAGACTGAAATGCCCCCCCCCCCGTCTGCCCCCCCCCCCCCCGTCTGCCCCCCCCCCCCCCCCGTCTGCCCCCCCGCTTTGTAGCCAAACACCTAAGACCCTCCAGCTGCATGGGTCACGGTACAGTTGTACCACGTGCACACTCGATGCTTAGTACTCCACTGCACCTTTGTAAGTGTTAACGTGGGACACCCACAGTGGGCGGCACCACCACACGCTGCATTCACACTCGGGCATAAGTTCACAAAGAGGTCTTTTGTGAACTGAGCTGAATTTGCCCGGACCACATCTTCACGCGACTTAGAGAAAAGCCACACTGACACACAATGGCCAAGATCCCCGTTTAGCCTTAGAGATCACAGGGGTAAGTGCTGTTAGCAGGCACCCACTAAGGCCAGCATTGGCACGTGGGTACCACGCCTGACCACCTGTGTCTCTCCAGTGGTGTTTACACAACGCGCCAATTACTCAATTAAGGCTGAGTCAGAGGCTCAGATGGCTTCTGCCGCTGGCATTTTCTAGGTTGGGGAATTAAACCTCGCTCTCCGGAACTGTAGTGTAATGTTCAAAGTGTGCGAACCACACACGCTTAAAGATCCCTATGGGTAGCCGTCAGGAGGTAGGATTCCCACGGTCACTCCCAGCCAAACCTCCCTCCTGTTCCTCTCCACTTGCACAAGGAACATTGGGTTCTGATCGCAGCGTGGTTTTATTGTACAACATCTCATATCTGATCCATCACATGTAAGCCTTGACCAATTAACTGCCCATGCGCAGCGCCCTATTTGTGCAATGGTGTAACTGGTATCGGATTCCTCCAGGCTTCCTCCAGGCTTCCTCCAGTCTAAATAAATATTCTGATTCTGTCGTTTAACATGGATGTTAGCAAATGTAAAAAAAGATCACATACAGTGTCGTACTCTATTCCTATTCTCGCGCACATTCGCTTATTTACTAAAAGTGGAAAAGAATATTCCAGTGTTTAAAGCCATTTGCACTTTAGTTTCATCCAATAACCTATTTTGGCAATAGTGGCATGACTTCCATGTGCTATAGATGATCACACACGCGACGTTGTCCTTTATTTCCTTTGTCTTTTGAACAAGTGATCTTTTTTCTCCAGAATAATCTCCCCCAAGTGTAAGCTGAGCTTTCTTCCACTGCCCCCCTGCCCTGTCATCAGATTGATGTGCAGATATACGCAGCGCAATGAACATCAGAGAGAATCATACGCGGTAATGTTCTGAAGGTAATTCAGTCGGTTTCCATTCGACGAAACATCGGATGGTTCTCATCTCCTCTTTACAGGGACTTAACCTAGCGGTGGAAATTCCACATTATTATGGCAGGGGGGAAGTATATCCAAACAACAACACCACCGTTGACTTCCACCAAAGCGGCCATCATTTTATTGATCCCAGAGGGATTATGGGCTGAGATTTTGAACTTGCATCCTTCCAATTTGCGGTTCGATCGTTCTGCAATTGTGCCACCAAGATAGATCATTTCAATATGGTATTCTGCACCTTACCGTGATGAAAAGTAAACAAGAGCTGTAAGATAATGAAGGCCTCTGCACACCATGTCGATCGTGGGGGGTCGTTTGACCATACTTCACCGCGCAGGTCATTGCAGGACCCGGTTCGGATATCACTCGGCACCAATGCTATCCACGGCCCATTAATCGAACTGACGTTTCCGAGTTCAGAGTGCAATGCTTTTAGCCACTGCACCACACCTCCCCGCCAACAATACAAAACAACGCCACTGTACGGTATAGCATATACAGCGAGTTCGCCAACGTGCTGTAATGTTGAACTTCTTTCGCACCGTACGTAGCCAACCGTGCTAATGAGAGATGCGGGGGAAGCGCGACAAACTAAACACAAAAAGCAGTTCCAGAGAGATGAGTTTTCAATCGAGATGATTTAAAAGCACATAGCTCTGGCGGCTTCCTAACACCGCAGGGAAAGGGCAATGTGGAGAGCGCACGCAATGCAGGTACAGTGGCGAGACCTCTGGCGCGACTACATCTTGCTGTCAGGCACTTTTAAAAGGGTTTAAATATGGCACGCAAAAAATGTACCCGTAAAAACTAAGTTTTTCACTATAAATCCTTTATATGCGTGGCGGCTAGAGTCCTCTCGTCCTCTGGCTTGAGATGGCTGCCACCTATGGGTCAGATGATTGTCTGCCACCATTAAACAATTGGTAAATAAATATTTTTAAAAAATTCCCTAAACAGTGTAAAATTTTGGAAAAAATTTTCCACGAAAATTTATTGTCACGCACAATGAGTCTGTGTGCAAAATGTCAGCTCGATTGGATCACGGGAAGTGGGTTAAAAAACGACCGAAAGATTTGCACGGTCGTAAGCAAGCAAGCAAGCACGCAAGCAAGTGAACTTAATATAAAGAATTTAAAAGTGGACGCAACCTGCACCTCGCTTTTAGTCGATTTTCTCCCCGCGCACCTTTGCGCCCTGAGGAACTCATAAAGCAGAAGGATGTGAGCGCGAGCAAGCCTCCTTATCTTATCCTGTTCACCTACATCAATATGTATCCTCTTCATACTTAATAAATAGAGACGAGAACACAGCTGCTGGCCAGGACACAGTGCTTGCGATAACTCGGTCAAAATCCAATTTCAAAAAAAGCCATTACAGATTTCATTATCAGTTGTAATCAGTGCTGCTGCTGTTCCACAGGTATTGCCGCGGCGACAAGAACTGCCGGGTCCGTAGGCTTTAGTGAAAGGGGCGGAGGGGGAATCAAAACAAAAGGCAAAAAAAGAAAAGACGGGAGGAGAAAAAAAACCGAAGAGGGATTTCATTCTGATACATTATTGCACTCCGCTGCCATCGATCACGCATATCACAGGCAGCACTGTAGGGCAGACTTATTGAAAAAACCGTCGGCTCAGCTGGCTTTGTACACAAGCGCACCTCCACATCCGATCCATCACTCGGCGAGACACAAACGGCGATTGATTTCGGGACGTCGCGCGTGCCAGCGCGGCAGAGCTCTGGCTAAAACAATGTCGGGTAAAATGTTAACGAAAAGGGATTGGGGTGCAAGTTTTAAAAATATATATTTTTTAAATTACACGCTTGCGGAAATTGATACGAACACATTTTAATTATTTTACTTATGTAATTGTCCTTGACGACACCACCCGAAAATTCTTTCCGATATCATATTTTGGAAGCCAAGCAGAGTGTTGTTTACGCGTGACCACCAATGCAGAAAACAGGAGCTGTGTGGCTACTCATTGTCAGCAACGAGTAGCGCAGTGAGATCCATCGTGCTACTGAACTCTGCTCACACGTCTATGCTCCCCGCCTTCACCAACCCACACTGACCAGCGTGGTGAAGTGCAGTGGAATGACCACCACGACCCACACAGTGTGAAGCGGCTCTCTCATCCACCAGTATATTAAAAAGGGATATACATGTTCTCACATGAATGCGATTAGTCAGTGCTCGACTAATACTCTGACACATTACAATTTTATGAAAGGGGTCAAGCGAATAAACAATGAGATTGTCATTACCATAAGCTGTCCTGGTCCAGTGGCGGAAATTCCACATTAGCCTAGCATGAAATCCAGCCTCTCCACAGGACGAAAGCCACTGTTGACTTCCCAAAAAGTGGTAGCGATGTTAAACACCCGAAAGAAATGTAAATAAAAGTCGACTCTGAACCAGAATTTGAACTCCATCGCGAGTCAAGTGCCCAAACCACAGTGCCACACAACAGGATATTTAATTACATGAATGTCAGATTATATCGAGTTCGGCTTAACAGCTGGTAACAATTTGTCTTCGACATTGAATAGCTGCTGATTT